TCTTGCCTTTTCGGGCCTAGCCACAAACCCGCTATTGTCTTTTTTTATTTATTGGTCGTTTGCCACATGCGTGGCGTGTGTCGATCGTAAGCACGGGGCCGTGGAGCGTCGTTTTGCGCGCCGCCCAGCATCAATTTTTTATTAAAAAATAGCGCGCCGCACAAGGTGTGTGCCTGTGCATAGTGTTACCTTGGCGCGCAGCGAGGCGTGTATGTTGCGCGAAACATACGCCCGTCCGAAAGTCGCGGTCCTGAGGCACGCGCTGCTGCCGCCCCGGTGCGTCGTTCTCGTCGCGCGCAGCGCCTCATTCAGTTGTCGGCAACTGGGCACGTAAAGGCGGCTCCCCTCCCCCTTGCGCTAGCCAGAGCCCCAGCGTGGACCACGCCATACGTCGTATGGTGGGCCGGAGGGGCCGAGGACGTAAAAGATAAAAACACACGCCCACCGCAACGCTAAACTGGCGCTGCTGGAAATTCCGCCAGAGGCGACAGGGGGAATGTTCTCTGAGCTGACGGACGGGTCGGGTCGGTCGCGCCTTGCTTTCGATCGTGATCGGAGCTCAGTTGCCCACAGTGGTTGCTAGGCCGCGAAGCCTATCTCAATTCACTGCCCTAAGGGGAGAGTTTGCACTTTTTGAAAAGCGCGAACTTCCAATGTCTCCCCTCGAAGAATTCTGACAATCAAGATATGATGACACCAATAATATGTAGTATTTTGAACCCCCGTCTCGTACAATGAAGGGAAATAACGACAGTGTGCAAACGGGACCCTTCGCTTGAGTAGTGCAATGAGATCTACGCTCGTTGGTAGGCCACATCCGGGATGGGGACGCATAAAGATATCAAAATGCCAATATATATCCAGCTCTTGGGGAGAAAATATGCTCAGTTGACCAAGTCGTACAGAAGCATGGCTCAGTGCTGGCATTGAATCTCCGTCAACGCACTATCCATTCGAAAAAGAAAAGAAAGTCACTTTTTCTGCCTGGCTACGGCACTCGTTCGTACTAAACAACTCGGGGAAAAGTGCGCGGGAAGGATATGGGGGGACGCCCTGTAAAAAACGGGTAAACGTCTCTCGTATGACAGTAGTGCAGGCCTCTCGGGACAAAGCCGACACCGCAGGTACCAGTCCCAAAAGACAGCCAACCGTCCCTAAGCCTTCTCCGTCTCGGGCACCTCCGGCGGGCGCACGACCACCTCCTGACAGTACCGCAGCGCCCTGTCCCAGAGCGGCGCGCGGCACAGCGTGCGCGGGTCCCCGACGACGACGAGCCCGGCCTTGGGCCGCGTCCACGCGACGTTGAGCCGCCGCGCGTCCTCGACGAAGCCCAGGTCGCCCTCCGCGTTGCTCCGCACGGTCGACAGCACGACCACGTCCGCCTCGCGCCCCTGGAAGCCGTCGATCGTGCTCGTGACGACGCCGTGCCCCGCGGGCAGCGTCTGCCCGAGCAGCTTCACCTGCCGCGCGTACGGCGTCAGCGCCGCGATCGAGGACGCCTGCAGCTCGGCGGTGGCGGCGGCGGCGGCGGCGGTCGCGTCCGCTGCGTCCGCTGAGGGCGCAGTGCCGTTCGCGGGATGTGGTGCGGGCTGCCGGGGCTCCCGCAGGAGCGAAACGATGTGCGCGACGAGGTCTGCTTGACCTCGGTTGCTCTTCGACGCCCGCCCGTAGTCTTCTTCCGCGAGGCACGGCACGAACGCCACGGGGAATATGCTCCCGTCGGGCCCTGCACTAGGCCAAGGGAAAGCGGAGAGGGCGAGCTTGGCGATGGCGGCGGCGGCCTGGACTGGGTTCCCGGTGCGCAGACGCCCTTCGTAGAACTCTGCAGAGGGGAAGCCGGCGATGGCTTCCGAGAAACGGTACTGTACCTAGGAGATCGCCCTCTGGTTTAGAAAACATGGGTTTGGAAGTGAACGCGCTGGACAGACCTCTAGCATGTCCTTTGTCATGTCTTGATACAGCGGACCGGTGTACAACCTCTCAAACAAGGATCTGTCGAATTCCAACGCTTTGCCCATGGCCTGCACGGTGGGCCGCAGCTGCACACTACCGAGGCCATCGTCATGAGCTCTCCGAAGCAACGAAAGATGAGACAACTCACTGGTCGCCCACCATGACCGCCGTGCCACACCCTTTGACGAGCGGTATCAGCGCCGCGGGCTCGCTGATCTGGGACGCCTCGTCGATGAGGACGACGTCGAACTCGGCCTTGCGGAGGACGCCGAGCGAAGCGCCGGTGCACGTCGTGAAGACGATGCGCGCGTCGCGGACGCGCCGCTGCGCCTTCTGCACGAGCCGCGGGTCCTCGTTCAGGCTCCCGCCGAGCCGCGCGTCGACGGTGTACTTCTGCAGAGCCTTGTGCACGCGTGCGGCCTCCGTCGCGGCGCGCAGGATCTGCTCGTCGTCCAGCAGCGGCCCGAGCTTCGCGTTCTCGGCGACGAAGCGCTCGAGCACGTTGTCGACGGCTGGAGGAGCGGCCGTGAGTGCGCAGCCAGAGATGCCCATAAAGAGAGGATGCGCACCGTTGTGGGTAGACGCCGTCATGAGGATCCGGGCTTCGGGGTCGAGGCGCAGGAAACGGAGGAGAATTTGCACGACCACGGTGGTCTTTCCGGTTCCTGGAGTATCTAAGTCCCATGGTATAGACGGCTGACTGTGAAGCTTACCTGGCGGACCCCATATCAAACTCATACGCCCAAGGGCAGTAGCCGCGACGGCAGCCTTCTGGCTGTCGTTCAAGGGCGACGTCAACGAAAGTTCCGCGTCGTCCACCGCAGCAGCTCCAGCGGCATCCCCCTCAGCCTGGACACTGGCGTCCGAGCAAATGATGTCTTTGAAGCGGCAGCACCCGCGGCCCTCCACCGCCAGCCGCCGGACGGCTTCGAGCATGGCCTTCGACGTGACGACGCCACCCGCCTGGTACATGTGCCAGTCCACGTCTGCGAACTCGGGCGGGAGAGGCTGGAGGACATCGAGCACGAGCTCGCCGCGGCCCGCGCGGACGACGATCGCGTCGACGACCGCAGGGGGGAGCGTTGAGTGTGCGGGCGTCGAGGCGACCTTGAGGCGGACGTGCGCGTGCAGCCGGACCGGCGCGGAGAGGTCGACGCGGACGTGCGCCATGACGCGGATCGGCACGCTCAGCGCCTCGGGCTCTGCGTCCGCCGGCGCGCCCTCGTCGCCCTTCGGGGCCGGCATGGAAAGGAGCTTCGCAGTGATTGGCGCCGTCTTCTGCCGCCGCGGACGCCCCTGCTCGTCGCAGGGACAGGCGTCGGCGGCCTCTTCTGCGCGGTCGAAGACGATCGCCAGGGCGTGCTTGTGCGCATACGCTTCGATGGCGGGGACGTCCTGCTGCGCCGTCCGGCTCTCGTGAAGGACGAGGAGCACCTCTTGCACGACCTCGAAGGAGCGGACGCAGAGGGCGGCGAGCCAGAGCAGGTCGAGGTAGGCCGAGAGGTCGAGTTTGGCGATGACCTCGGCGAGGCGCTCGAGCGCTGCGAGGGCGGCCATGCCGAGGTCGTTTGCGGAGCGAACAATCTGAATGAGCACAGCTATAGCCAGCCTTGCGCGGAGAGGCTCGCTGAGCTCCGCTGGCTCCTCCGATAGGAACCGCTTGAGAGCACAATACGCCAGAGGCGGG